TCGGTCCCCCAACCTCAGCCCTCATCCTCTGCGATGGAGGAGAGAAAGCCCTCCTGCCCCGCAGAGAAGGGCAAAACCCCCCAGGAGCCCCCTGTTGTGCCGCCCGGTGAGCGAGGGTCCCCGCAGGGCTGGGGGTTGGTGCGGTGCGGGGCTTTTTGCATGGTGCTGGGGCTGCGTGGGGTGGCAGAGGGCAGAGCCCCCTGCTCTCCTCGCTCTGCTCCGGGCTCCTCTACCCCACGTCTGACCGCAAATCTTAATCCTAGCCCCAGCCCTCAGCCCAACCTTAACCCTCAACCTAACCCAACCCCAAGCCCAACCCTAAGACCAACCTGAACTCTAAACCCAGCTATCAACCAGAACCTAACCCAACCTCAACCCGAACCTTAAACTTAACCCTAAACCCAACCCCAGCCTCAACTCCAGCTTCAACCCTAACTTGAACCCCAACCTCAATCCTAACACTAACCACAACCCTAAACACAACTCTAATTCCAACCCCCCCTGCACTCCCAATTCCAGCTCCCCGCTCGGACACCCCTGGGATGCCCGTGTGTGATGCGGAGCGTTACGCGATGGACGACATCGAGGCCTTTGTCCAGAGAGCAGAGGTGACTGCGGCCGCTGCCATCGCGGCGGTGCCCCATCCGCACCCCCAGACCCATTTCAGCCGCAGGAGAGCTCTGCCCCCCTGCTCACTCTCCCCCCACTCTCTGACAGCCTCAGAACGAGGAGCAGAAGATGAAGTTCCTGCAGAGCATCCGCACCATCTGCAGCCGCGTGGCGGAGAGGAACGTGGCGCAGGAACTGCGCGTCTTCTGCCGCCGGAACAATCTTGTGGAGAACATCATGGTGAGGGGCGCTGGGTGCTGGAGGGGGGCAGCGGGCGGCTCCTCTCCTCCCGGCGCTGCGAGCACTGAGTGCCCGGTGCCATCCTGCTGTGCTGCAGGTGCTGCTGGCGGAGGAGCCGCACAAAAAACTGAGCTCCGAACTGCGGCTGCAAGCGATGGCCACCATCACCGCCCTCAGGTACTGCCCAGCTGCTGCCGGCTTGGCCCCGCAGCATTCAGACGGCCCCACACGGCCTGTACGGCCCTGCAGGCCCAGGGGACGATCCTGGCCGTTCTGGGCTGCTGCTCTCCTGCATCGGGGCTGGCCAAAGAGCTGAGGGAGTCCTGCGGCCCTGCTGGGCCTCAGCTCGAACGCTGACCGTAACCTGACCCTCGTCCTAAGCCTAACGCTAACCACAACCTAAACCCTGACCCTAACTCTAGTCCTAACCCTAGCTCTAACCCCAAACCCAAACCCAGCCCCAACCCCAACCAACACTTGAGTGCTGGTGGTGGCAATGGTGACGAGGAGACGGTTGGACTAGATGATCTTATAGGTCGTTTCCAACCTTGTGATTCTATGATTCTAACCCACACCCACCACAGCAGCACTCAGGACTCCCTCTGCCCCACGCATCCCCGTGGAGGAGGGGCTCCCTCCCCACGTTGCCCCCCTCGCTCTGCAGAGTGCTGCCCATGGCAGGGGTCCACTCCCCATCCCGCAGCACAGCGCTCCCAGCTTTGCAGTTCTTGTTTCTGCAGCAAGGTGGAGGGGTTGCTGGAGGAAAAGATCCCTCTCTTTGATGTGTGCTTCCAGAGCATCCTCCTGCTTCCCTTGGAGCAGGACCTGGACGTGAGCCTTTACTCCAAGGTGAGTGCTGGGGAGCTGCAGGGCCCCCCCGCCTTGCAGGACAGGCTCTTGCTGTGCATCCCCCGTCCCCTCCCCTCTGATCTCCCTCCACTCTGTCCATCCTGCAGACTCTCAGGGCTCTGGATGAGATGCTGGACACCTTGGTGTTCATCCACCCCACTGCAGGCATCGGAGAGGAGTTGAAAAACGCCTTCCAGGTGAGCTGTGCCCACAGGGGCCACACGGAGGAGGGCTGTTCTTCCGCCATCCCCACCACCCCAAAACCTTTTGGGGTGATCCGGGGGGGCACAGGGCAGAGACAGAGCTCCTCTTCCCACAGGTGCTGCTGCCCTTCACCTCCACTCAGAACTCAGCTGCGTGCCAGAGGGCAGTGGGACGCATCTGGAAGCTGTGCCATTCACTGGCGTATTACTGCCAGGAGAGGGTAAGGGCCCGACCCCCATGGCGTGGGGTCTTTGTCCCTCCTTGTCCCCGCTCTCCCCTCTCTGGGCGTGCGCTCAACTTTCTGCTCTCCACACACAGCCCCATCACTCCTCGGGACGATTCAGACCCATCTGCTGTGACAAGTTCCGCCTGCCCGTGCTGGGGCAGCTGGTGGGAAGCCTCATCCTGTGCTGCGCCTGCCAGGAGGACAAAACGCACCGCTGTGCTTTGAGCGCTCTCCATCACCTCTACAAATTCATCCTGTGGAGAAGCCGTAAGAAAGCGGCCGCTGACTGCCTCCATCCATTGCAGACGTCCCACGGGGCCGAGCGTGGATGGCGCTGCGTCAGCTGCTGTTCCGAGCAGTGAAGAACCCCATTGCACTGGGGAGCTGTGCCCCACGGCCCTGCGCTCGGGGTGGAGGCAGCTGTCCAGCTCCCTGCAGGGCTCCCACCGCTCACACACCCTCGCCTCGCTTTCCTTTCCAGGCTGGGAAGTGCAGCCGGAAGAGCAGGGGAAGCAGGAGCAGTGGGAAGATGAGCACGAGTTCTCCCTCACCTGGACCACCAACACCTCGGAGATTTTGCTGGTGAGGAGAGATCGCCGTGCCGGGACTCGTGGCTGCAGGGTCTGTGGGGATGGGGGGAACACGGCTGATGTTCCTTCTCCCCTCTGTGTTTGTTCCTCCCCAGCGCTTTGCAAAGCACTTCCACTCTTGGGAGACAACTGACCTCATCCTCGTGATGCTGCAGGGCATGAAGGACTGCAGCAACTGCAACGCCCAGGCTGCTTCCAACTTGATGGGTGTGCTGACGGCTGACTTCAAGCCCACGCCCAACGATGTGAGCAACTGGCAGCTGCTTACTGGGGGACTGAGCCCATGGGGGTGGGGTTGAAGTGGAGGCTGGGGGTTGGGTTGAAGTTGGGTTGGGTTCTGGACTTTGGGTTTGGGTTGGATGGGTGCTGGGTGGTGAGGTGGGGTGGGGTGGGGTTGGGTTTGCTGGGGGTTGGGTTTGTGTTGGGTTGGGTCGTGATGCTTAGAGTGGGGTTGGGTTGGGTGCTGGAAGGCTGTGTTGGGTTGTCCTTTGAGATTTGAGACTTCAGGGCACTTGGCCCCTCTTGGGGACGTCTGGAGTGAAGTTTTGCTGTCCCCGTGACCCTTCCAGGTGCAGCGCATCGTGACAGCCATCCACAGGAGCAGGAAGCTGATCACAGAGGAAAAGGCACTGAAGCACATCCGTGACGTCTTCCCCAGGCTGGCTGCCGCCAGCCCTCATACAGTGACACTCAGCCTGCTGCGCTGCTCCCCCACCTGTGACAAGTGCGCTGCCCCCACCCCCTGCTGAGAGAGACCCCCACCCCACATGGACAGGGAACCCCATCCCAAACAAGAGAGGCCCCCACTCCACACGGAGAGGGAGATCACCCCCTGTGGGGAAGGATGCCCACCGCACGTGGATTGGGACCCTCACCCGATGCGGAGAGGGATCCCACACCTGGGGAGACCCTCACCCCACCCATAGAAGGACCCCCACCCTACGCAGAGAGAAACCCCCAGCCCACGCTTAGAGGGGCTCCCGCTGAGGATGGCTCTGTGCCGCAGGGACGCACGGGAGCTGTGGGAGTTGGCGCTGTCCTCAGAGGACGCGATGCCACAGATGATGCAGGAGCTGCTGCGTCTGCTGGAGATGGCGCCGCTGGGCCTGGAGACCGAGTCCAGCACCCTTAGCCTGGCCGTGAGTTTGGGGTCTCCCGGGAACGCTGCCTCCTCCCTGCCCCCAACCCAGGGGAGCAGCTCGGTGCTGAGCGCTGTGCGGGTGCTTTCCGCAGGCGGTGGCGGCGCTCTGTAAGCTCCTGCAGAACCTGGAGTACGGCCCGCAGGTGCAGCAGCTTTTCCCGGAGCTCTTTGTGGCTCTCGTCCTCCAGTTGGTGTCCTGTGAGGAGCTCTGTTCGCTGGAGGTCATCGCCATCACGGAGGAGCCGTTTGGCCCGGTTTCACTCACCTCTGCTGCCAGGTAGCACCACCGTGGCCCGGTGGCACCACTCACGCTGAGCCCTGGCCCCGCGCTGACCCCTGACCCTACGGTGCCCCATTTCCATGCAGGATGGTGGTGGAGACGTTGCGCCTTTTGCTGCTGTGCTCTGATATGGAGGACCTGGCGCTCTTCATGGAGACCTACAACCTGTGGGCGCGGCTGCCTGGCGCTGCCCAGTGGCAGAATGGCCTGTGCAACTTTGCCAAGTACGGCCCCAACCCCCTCCACGTGCTGCCCCACACTGCCTCACATGGTGCCCCATGCGCTGCCCCACATGCTGCCCTCTTGAGAGAAGTAGGGATCAAGTTGGCGAGTGCTCAGAGGTGCCAAGGCGTGGTGTGCAGATGGAGGAGCACACTGTGGGGCAGGATGAGCTGTTCCGGTCCCCCCCCCAGCCCGGACCTGGTGGGGTCAGCCCCCAACACGGGCTCAGCTCTCCCCCCATCCCACAGGGTGCTGATGAGGAGATGCCAGAGTCACTGCAGGCCCATCTTCATCCATCTGCAGAAGCTGCTGCAGTACCACCAGCTGCAGTGGAGGGAGGTCCCGGCCATGGCGCTCTACTTCGAGGTGGGTGTGGGGATGGTGCGGGGGTCCCCTCGAGGCGATGGGGGCCTGAGCCCCCTCCCGCCTGCTGACCACTACTCATCACAGATGTGGATCCTCATCGGGTTCCGGGACGATGACTACTACGCAGAGAAGATCTTCAGGAAACACGTCCCCAGCGAACAGCTCAGGAGCAGAGAGCTGGCGCTGCTTGGGCTGCGGTACCTTTACGATGAGAAGATGCAGCTTCTGCTGCCCGACGTGCTGCTGTGGCTGCAGGACGCGTGGGCTGACATCAAGCTGCAGGCCATGTACATACTGCACTGCATCCTGACAGAGCACCCCGCCAGCGTCCGAGGTGTGGTCGGCCAGCTGGCCGTGCTGCTGCTGTCCTACTTCAACGAGGTGAGGGGCGCGGGGCAGCGGGGAGCACCCAAACGTCCCCCGCACCGTGCAGAGCTCAGCACCACTCCCTGTGTGTCCCCTTCCAGGAAAAGGCAGATATGCGCTGGCACTCCATGGAGCTCTTTGCGCTGCTGCTGGAGGCGCCGGGCAGGAAGCAGCTGCTGCCAGAGGCGGAGAAGAGTCTGCTGCCACTCTTCATCCACATGAATGAGGACATTAACAACGTGGCCCAGGTGGGTGCAGCTCATGGAGTCACGGGATCGTGGGCTCACCCGGCGTGACCGCAGCCCACCCTGCTGATTCACTGCATTGTGAACGCTGGGAAAGGCCTCTGAGGTCACTGGCTCTGACCAGCAACCCGCTCCGTGCCCGCTCATACGGTCCTGCCAGATCCTTCTCCCTTTTTCACTCATACAGCCCTCCTAGATACCAGATCCCCCCCTTATGTGTACCCATACAGTCCTCCTCGTCCCCCTGCTCCGCCACTCGCACCCATACAGTCATTATGCTTAGGAAAACCCTCCCAGATCCCCGCCGCCGTTCCTCCAGATCCCGCGGGTGAAACCAGCTGCGGTGCCACCCCAGGGTGGGGATGGTGGTGGCCCCCCAGGCTCTCTTGCCAACCCCCCCCAACTGTGTCGCTGTCCCCAGGCTGCTCAGATTGCTCTGATCCGTGCCGCCAAGCTCCTGGGCTGGCAGCGACTGCAACGCTTGGCCAGTAAAGCGGAGGTCTGGATGATCGCTGACTGCCTGGTAAGCACCCCCACCTTTCAACCCCTCTCCCCCACCCCGGGACCCGCCCTGCTCCAGCAGAAAGGGGGGTGGGCAGCTGTGCAGGTGCCTCCTCCACCGTGCTGTTCTCTGCAGCTTCGGGAGAGGGAAGGAGATGCGGAGCTGTACATGAAGCAGACCATGCTGCACCTGGACAGCCCACAGGCAGCTTTGAGGGAGGCGGCCGTGCGCTTCCTGGGTGAGTCCTGGTCCTGATGGGTCCCCATCCCTCTGCCCCCACCCCTGTCTGAATGCTGTGGGGTCACTGCACGGGGGAGGCCCTGGGGGATCACTGGGGAACCGATGGTGTTCTTGGGGGTTATTGAGGCAACAGTGGGATCGCTGGGGCATTATGGGGCTCAGTGGGGCACTGTGTAGGGTCTCTGGGGGTCTCTGGGGCACCATCGAGGTCCTTGGGGGCAGTTGGGGCACCATGGGGGTCATTGGGGCACCATAGGGTCCCTGGGACGCTGTAGGGTCTTTGGGAATGATGGGAATGCTCCTGGGGTACTGTGGGGTTTCTGGAGATCCTTGGGGCCTCATGGGGGTCACTGGGTGCAGTGAGGTTCCCGGGCACCATGAGGCTGGGCGAGTGCTGACGGAGACCTGTGTGTGCAGGGATGCTGGCGCAGAAGCTGAAGAATAAGAACGAGGAGATGGTGTTGGACATCCGTAAAGGTGAGCCATCCCCCCCCGCCCCGCGCCCAGGAAGCGCCGTGTGGGGCCCGCGTGGTGACACAGCCCCGCTCCATTGCAGCCCTGCAGGGTGCCAAGGGGGACAGGGATCTGGCCGTGAACTCCCTGGTGCAGCAGACGCTGCTGATCCTCTGCCAGAAGAAAGATGTGCCGCCCACCAGGCCTAGGGGCAGAGCGTCGCTCCAGTGGTTCCAGAGGAAGCAGAAGGAGTAGTGCCAGTCCAAAGGGTTTGGAGGTGTTGCATTCTGCTCCTCACTGCCACATGAATGCCAACCCGAAGAGCAACCACAGCCCCAAAGCAAACTGCATCCCCAGCCATAACCAGAACTCCAAGCTGAACCTCAAGCACAGTCACGAGCCCAGCTGACTTGCGGAAACTCCGTGACCACAAAGGAGCGACAAAAGCAGGGATGTTTATCAGCACTGCGCGCACGCTGGATGCAAACAGGGTAACCCCTCCTAGCTTGCACACCCAGCTCCTCTTTCCCAAAGCAAATGCCACTAACACAGGCCCAAAACAGAGCTGCAGCCTGGAAAGGCAGAGCTGGACACGAGGCACTGAGGGCCCACGGTCTCTGCATCTGCAGGGGCAGCAGAGCGGCCCTCTCGGGTGCTTTGGGACACGCCTGAGCAGCCTGCGTGTCACCGGCCAGCAGGTTCACAGTCAGTCTCCTCTGACAAGATCTCTCCTTCCCAATTCCAGAGGAATGTCCTGAATTGCCACCCCTGCCCAGCTGGATCCATGTCTCCTTTCTGGTGCAAAGCAGCCCGGAGAAGAGAACAAGCGATGTCAAGAAGAAGAGCAGGTGAGACTGCAGGCTCAGGGTCGGGATCTGCACGGGGTGTTTCCCTGACCCGGCAAGAGCCCATTGCCCAACCCCAGGCAGTCACTGTTCAGGGCCGCCCAGCGGCGCTGAGTGCAGCACACGAGGGGTGGCGTGGGGCTGCCAGGAGCCCCCATTTCACACGGCTGCCCCTCTCCAGCCCTCAGGAAAGCGCCAGCGCAACCCGAGAGGCTGTGTGTGGGGAAGGCTGCGTTGCAGCCAAGGGTCCTGGCTTGGGGTTGCAGGATACGGCCCCAAAGCTGTCACCCACTCAGGCAGACCCCTCCCACTCTGTCCTTTCAGTCAGCTGCCAGCGGTCCCGGGGGCATCTTCTGCCAAAAAGCAGCCTCAGAACAAAAAGAAGGGAAAATGCTCTACCAAAAGCAAAGCGACAGAGATGCATCCGGCACAGGCAGTGCTGCCTCCAAGTGGCAAAGAAGAGGAACGCGGTGCGGTGAAAGTCCCTGGTAGAGGAGGAGTGACAGAAAAGGCACAGGCCAAGCTCAGAAAGCACTGCGGAGCCCCAGCCCTGCACCAAACACCGCTGGCAGCCCTACGGTCCTCGAGCTCCGAGAGCAGCCTGCCCGAGAAGCGCAGCTGCAACGCCTCTGCTGCGGTGCCACGGACGCACAAGGGGACCAAATCCATGCAGAGTCAGCCACCAAAGAGCAAAGCAGGCGGCCTGTCCACGGGGTGCCCAGGAGAAGCAGAGCTCCACCTGAGGCTGCAAAGCAGATGCACGATTCCCATCTGGGAATGCCATTCCTGGGTGCCTGTCTGAAGCCTTCTCTGGTTTTGGCTCCCGGTTTGCTTTCTGAGGCACTGCTTGCCATAAGACTGACTTAATCTAGGAGATGAGAGGTGGGTGCGCCAACCAACACCACTTGGTAGGCACTTTTACGTTGGAAAGCATTTATTCGGAGCTGTTTGCCTTTGGAAGAGATTGCTCAGGACTGTTTACTGGCTAAAGATCTGGCCTGCGACCAAAAACTCCAGCTTGGTTTGGGAGAACTGGGGAACAATACCATCCTATCCAGTGAAAAACAGGATGCAGGTGGGCACCTCCCTGCTTCCTCTTATCTGCTGGCAAGGCCCGGGAGATGGGAGCAAAGGAGTTTCTGCTGAGATCCCAAAGCCAGCAGCTGCCGCTCCAAAAAGAGCTGACTCGACCGCTTTGGATTTGAACTGTCCCTCCAAAGAGAGCTGACTCTGCCTTGTGGCCCTTTTGGACTTTCTGATGCCGTGTCACCAACTGAACAACAGCCCCTGATGACCCATCGCTACTGATCATCAAGGGCTGAACTACGAACCAAGCTGGACCCGTGGTGGTGACCACCTCTCTCTTGCTTGCTACAGAGACTGCTTGCTTTCCTTTCCCATCTTTCCATCGCCCGTCTTCCCCATCTCCCTAAACAGCTTGGATGTGTAATAAACTGGACGGGCTGACATCTAACCCGCTGTGTCTTCATCTCTCCGTCAGCTGTACCTACAGTGAAAGAACCTCCCCTTGCTCTGACAATGGCAGCGAGACAGTGCTGTCTCCGTGTAGAAAAGCAGAGCTAGAAGGACAGTGGGGACTCTTCCTTCCAAGACCCCTTGGCTCTGACAGCCTGCATTGCTTGCAGCCTTGGGATCTCCTCAATTTCCAAAGTCCCACTCCCTTCTGGCGGCACACAGAGCTCACCAAAGCCCAGGATTTGGCAGCACTTGAAAGGCGTAGCCGTGCGTGAGGCTGGGCCTGGGACAAGAGGAGACTGTTTCCTTCCAGCTCGCTGCTCCTTTAGATTCCCGGTGGGAAGAGAAGGGCTTTGTGAGAGGCTGAAGAGAGAAATGGCTGCCTGCCCTGGGTGTTCTGACCTGAAGCCACCCCAGGGCTATGCGTGAGGGAAGAGAACTGCCCTGTTTTTGGCAAGAGTCTCTTGTACAGAAATCCATCGGCTGTCAGACCGCATGGAAAGAGATGGAGGAAAATACAAGAAAGGTCTTGCAGAAAATGGTCTTCTGCAGTGTTCTGGTCTTTGTGCACGGAACAGGATTGCTCTTTCTCCCCAGGGGAAACAATTGCAGTTCCTCATTCAATAGAAATATTTGCATTCCCTTCCAAACTGTGTTTTGAGTAAAAACCAGTCCCATGCCCAAACAGGTCGTTAAGGTACCGTGTTGCAATTGAAAATCCAAACCCTGGCTTTAGAAGCAAAAGAGAAGCCGCAGCCTGCTCCCCGAATCCCTGGAACGTTGCTTCTCTCTGCCACCCTCGGCCGGCCATCCCTAAGGGCAGGGCTGGGATGGGGCTGCCGGGAGCCCCCATTCACAGGGCTGCCCCCTCTGTCCCCTCTCCAGCCCTCAGCAGAGCCCAGCTCAGCTGGAGAGCCGTGTGTAGGAAAGGCTGTGTCACAGCCAGGGCTCCTGGCCAAGGGCTGCAACAGGCTCCTCTTCTGGGCCCTGCTGTGCCAGCGTCGCTCCAAGAACAAGCTGGGCTTTTGGGAACGTTTCAGAAGCAAGAAGGAGAAGGACAGAGGCCTGGAAACGTGAGCTGTGCAGGAGCTGCCCTGGGCAGCCGAGCGCTGAGCATCCAGCACTGAGCACATGCTCAGAGAGCAGCTGCTTTGGACCGGCCTGGCCAGAACCGGAGCGAGCAATCTCAAGGTCCGAGGGGCTGCAGATGGCAGCAGAAGGGCAGCCTGGTGCAGCGTGCTCTGAAGATCCGTCACCTCGCAGTAAAGAGCAGACAGCAAGGAGTCTTGTGCTTTTGCTTAGAAATAGAGAGGCAAAATCCTCAGCACCAAAACGCACGGAATCGTACAGTCACCGAGGTTGGAAAAGACCTCCAAGATCATCCCGTCCAACCGTCCTCCTACCACCACTATTTCCCACTATTTCCCACTAAGCCGTGTCCTTCAGTGCCACATCTGAGGAGGCGCCTGCTGCTTCGTGTGGCAGCCTGGAGTTTCCCACGCAGTTGAAGTTATGCAATAAGGAAATGCTCAAATATGGTAAAAAATCAGTTTCTGGCCTTTTGGCAGGTTTATCAAAGTCAGCGTGGTTCCAAATCAGACAGTATGGTCTCACATATGTTTTTTTGTCCCGTATTGAAAGAATTTGTGCACATCTGGCTGCATACATACTTCACCCATAGCAAAATATTGCTTTCTTCTTACGGTGAGCTTTGCCTACTAAGTAGAAAGACAAAATAAACTTATATTCCAGAATCAGAAAAGCAAAGGCACCTTGGAGGCTCGATACAGCACAGGTCAGTTAGAGTGTTACTTTAAAGTTGTGGTGTTCTGGGTCTAATATGGATGAGTTACGGCTGTGGAAGTTACAGACAAGTGTTCATCACTGCAAACCGTGCTCTTCTTTTCTCTACCTCTGTTTTTATTGTTCATATCCATCTGCATCCTTGTCACGGATCTGAAGTTTTACTGTGGATCTCCTCTGCCTTCCCAATTCCAGTGAGATTTTCTAAAGCGTGGGCTTTCATCAGACACTGGAGTGCTGCAGGTACAGGTGAGGATGCTTCAGAAAGAAGCTGACAACAGACGGAGAGCTTTGGCCCAGGTGAGGCTGGAGGCTCCAAGTTAGGATGTGACCCCAGAAAGGGGCCCATGCCCCAACCCCAAAGAGTCACTCTTTGTGGCCACCCAGCAGGGCTGAACACAGCTCCTGGAGTGTTGGGATGGGGACACAGGTTTGGCCCCTGGGGGAAGGCTGTGCTGCAGCCAAGGGTTCTGGCTGAGGGTTGCAGGATGCTGCCCCAAGGCCATCATCCCCTGAGGCAGGCAGCTCACGCTCTGCCCTTTCTGTCTCCTGCCAGTGACCCTGGGAGTGTCTGAAGCCCAAAAGCAGCCAATGACCTGAGAGCTGCAGGCCCAAGCAGGAGCCAAAGGCCAAGAAGACCTGGGCTGAGTAAAGGGAGCAAAATGTGAGGCTCCAAGCAGATGGATGAGGAATGGAGAAGTGCCATCATGGGGTGGAGAGCTGAAGACACCGAAAGCAGAGGCCAGGAGTTCATGGCAAAAACGGTCAGAGGAAAACAGCAGATCTTCATCCCACGCCCCGCTACGCACGCCAAGAAGGGAGGGTCTGCATGCTAACGAACTCTCGGGGTGTAATGAATGTTTATCCGATTTCCAGGAGAACTATTGATGATGTTTTAGTTTCGCTTGTATCTGTAGCACAGTTTTTTCAGACGGTGCACAAGTGAGGCTGATTTATTCCCCCTGCACCAGGTGTCTGCAGAGCACTGAACAAACCGTCCCTGCTTTGTAATCTTACTTGGGTTACAGCGTTTGATTCCGCACGTCAACTGGTGAAGATGTTTGTTTCAGTTTCAGGCAGGAGGAACTGTTTCTCCAGGGCAGATGAAGCTCCTTTGGTATAGAGGACGATGGCTGAAATGTAAACATGGGGGGACCTGGCAGGTGGATGCTCACCGACAAGCTTGCCATGTACGCAGTGGTGGAAGCAACCACCGGATGGCTGGAAACAAATCCTGCACCCCTTGCCACTGCCTGAAATGCAAATGCTGTGGAGTAAGGGGTGCATATTGTCTTTGTTTCCAATGGGACAGGATCGTTTTTTTCAGTGTCTGGTCCACCAACGTTTCTAGCTGCTGCTTAGCAGTGTTGTGCAGAGCCAAGGCCATTCTCAGCAAAGGGCCCAAGAAGCTGGGAGGGAACAGAATTAGAATAGCTGACTGAAACTGGCCAAAGGGATTTTCCATAGCATATGACGTCATGTGGAAGGAGTTCTGAAGGGGGTGGGAGTTCATCTCTCTCACTTCTACTGCTTGAGGGGGTGCTGGGCATCACGTGGGGGGTGGTGGACAATTTCGTGTGCATCACTTGTTCTGTACATTCATATATTTGTCGTAATTATTATCCTTTTCTTTTTCTCTGTCTTAGTAAATAGTTTTATTTAACCATGAGTTCTACTTTGTTATTTTTTTCTGATTCTCTCCCCCCATCCCACTGTAGGAAGAGTGAGGAGTGAACAAATGAGTGTGTGGCACTCAGACACCTGCTGGATTCAAACACAGCACCCACAGGGGCTCTGCAGGTCCATCTGCAGAGGAGGGGAGGAGAGGGGAGGGGAGGGGAGGGGAGGGGAGGGGAGGGGAGGGGATGGGAAGGGAAGGGAAGGGAAGGGAAGGGAAGGGAAGGGAAGGGAAGGGAAGGGAAGGGAAGGGAAGGGAAGGGAAGGGAAGGGAAGGGAAGGGAAGGGAAGGGAAGGGAAGGGAAGGGAAGGGAAGGGAAGGGAAGGGAAGGGAAGGGAAGGGAAGGGAAGGGAAGGGAAGGGAAGGGAAGGGAAGGGAAGGGAAGGGAAGGGAAGGGAAGGGAAGGGAAGGGAAGGGAAGGGAAGGGAAGGGAAGGGACGAGGTGTGAGGTGGCCTGAGGGTGGTCTTTAGTATCTAAAGGGGGCTGTAAGAAGGAAGAGGCCAGACTCTTCAGCGGGGTCTGGACAGATGGGACAAGGATAAAGAGCCCTGATCAATACCTTCAAGGAACAGACATTCTCCTTCTGCACAGCCTTTACAGATACAAGCCCTGGAGATAGAAACTCCACTTTCTGGAATGTCTGTAATTCATTAGAAACAGCCCAGTTTAAAACCTTTGTACTGCCTGCAGAGCAGGCTACCTGAAACACCTCTGAAATCACAGCTGACACAGTGA